TCATCAATATGCATTTAGTGTGTCTGGTTTTTTTTTTGTTTGTATTACAGCTGCAGCAGGAAGCAGAGAAGGCGGAGTTGCTGCTGCTGCAGCAAACAGCAAAGAAGGAGAGTTTAGATAGAGCACTGCAGCAGGAGGAGCAGCAGCTGCAGCAGCGGCTGCAGCAGATTCATCAGGGGCCCTCCCCCTGGCAGCTGAGGCCCCTACCCAAGTTTAAACAAAGCAGCAAACAAACAGCAGCAGCAGCAGCAGCAGCAGCAGCAGCAGCAGCAGCAGCAGCACCTGCTGCTGCTGCTGTGAGAAACTCGAAGCAGGACGGCCGCGGTGCAGCGAGGCGCCCAACAGGTGCAGCAGCAACAGCAGCAGCAGCAGCAGCAGCAGCAGCAGCAACAGCAGCAGAAGAGAGCAGCAAACGCGGAACGAAGATATCCCCTTGGTCCCATCGCCGGAGCTCCAGCAGCAGCTCATCCAAGCAGCAGCAGCAGCAGCAGCAGCGGCAGCAGCAGCAGCAGCAGCAGCACGAGGAGACAGAAGAGGAGCGTCTCTCGCGCCGCAGCAGTGCTGCTTCTCTGCTGCTGCAGTCCCTCGCAGCTCTCCGGGCCTCCAGCAGCCTCAGGCAGCAACGCAGCTGATGCAGCTGCTGGGCTTCACGCAGCAGCAGCAGCAGCAGCAGCAGCAGCAGCAGCAGTAGCAGCTGTAGCAGCGGCAGCAGCAGCAGCACCAGCAGCAGCAGTAGCAGCTGTAGCAGCGGCAGCAGCAGTAGTAGCAGCAGCAACAGTAGCGGCAGCAGCAGTAGCAGCAGAAGCAGTGGCGGCTGCAGCAGCAGTAGCAGCAGTAGCAGCAGCAGCAGTAGCAGCAGCAGCAGCAGTAGCAGCAGCAGCAGTAGCAGCAGCAGCAGTGGCGGCAGCAGCAGCAGCAGTAGCAGCAGAAGCAGCGGCAGCAGCAGCAGTAGTAGTAGCAGCAGCAGCAGCTGCGGCCGCAGCAACAGCAGCAGCAGCAGCAGTAGCAGCAGCAGCAGCAGCAGTAACAGCAGCAGCAGCAGCAGCAGCAGCAGAGCTGCTACACCCTGAACCCTGTACAAATTTGTTTTTATCGCTAAGGGCTAGGCTTGTCTGACGCACAGACATATTTAGCGAGCTAACCAACTAGCTAGCTAGCTAGCTAGCTAGCTAGCTAGCTAGCTAGCTAGCTAGCTAGCCAGCTAGCTAGCTAGCTAGCCACTTCACCAGCTAGCTTGGTAGTGAATTAGTCAGCTAGCTAGCTGGATAGCTGGCTATCCATATTCTTAGATAGCTAGCTAGCTGGCTATCCATATCTTTAGCTAGCTAGCTAGCTAGCTAGCTGGCTATCCATATCTTTA